GATCGAGACCATCCTGGTCAACATGGTGAAACCCCGTCTCTACTAAAAATACAAAAATTAGCTGGGCATGGTGGCGCGTGCCTGTAGTCCCAGCTATTCAGGAGGCTGAGGCAGGAGAATTGCTTGAACCCAGGAGGCGGGGGTTGCGGTGAGCCGGGATCACGCGATTGCACTCCAGCCTGGGTAACGAGCAAAACTCTGTCTCAAAAAAAAAATGCTTCAAGATCTCTTTCCAGCCATTTATTCATGTGCAAAAACAGTTGGTGATTATTGATGAAATAGCCTTTACAATTTGGAGCAATTATGTGCATTGCATATACCGTTTGATTCTGGCAGCCTAATGAAGGAGGGATGATCATTTTCCCAATTTCGCGGATGAGAACAAGAAGAGGGAGGGCAGAGGGTGTGGTAGTTCAAGGCACAGGCTCCAGCAGACTATCTAGGTTTAAGTCTTGGCTCTAGGCCGGGTGTGTTGGCTCACACCCGTAATCCTAGCACTTTGGGAAGCAGAGGCGGGCAGATCACATGAGCACAGGAGTTCGAGACCAGCTGGGCCAATGTGGTGAAACCCCTTCTCTACTAAAAATACAAAAATTAGCTGGGTATGGTGGCGGGCACCTGTAATCCCAGCTACTTGGGAGGCTGAGGCAGGAGAATCACTTGAACCCAGGAGGTGGAGGTTGCAGTGAGCCGAAACAGTGCCACTGCACTCCAGCCTGGGTGACAAGATTGAAACTCCATCTCAAAAAAAAAAAAAACAACAAAAACCAAAACAAAACAAACACTTGGCTCTACCCACTGGGGCAAGTTACTAACTCCTCTGTGCCTTGGTTTTCATATCTGTAAAATGGTGACAGTAACAGCGTCCACGTCAAAGTGTGGTTGTGAGAACGAAACAAGATAGCCTGTGTAAAGTGATTAAAATAGCGTAGGCACATGGTAAACACTTAAGAAATGTCGGCTGCTATAAAGCTCAGAGATGTTAAGTAACTAGATCAAGACCACACTGTTAGAGGGTGCCAGAGTCTTGATTTGAACCCATTTGTCTCATTCTGGAGCCCAAGCTGCTAACCCTTTTTCAAAACTAGAATTAAACCAAAGTGCTCACCCTCTTCACTTTGCTGGGCCCCTTGCTGCCCTCAGGTGCATCTCTTCCATTCACCTGCCTCTGCTCAGGGTCTGAGAGTGGGAAAGGTTAGGGCAACCCAGGTGGCCCTGATGTATTCTGCCAGCCAGCCCACCAGGTCCCTTGCTGCAGGCGGCAAAGGGAGGGAGGTTTGCTGCGAAGATTATGTGGTTCTCACCAACAAGAGCACTGGGCCTCCCTCTGCCCTCTCTTTTCTGTGTGTCCTGGGTCAAGTCACTCGGCTTCTGTGGCCTTATTTTCTCATGTGCACAGCCAGGGAGTTGACCCTGATCTGCAGTAACAGCAGCAATGACTTTTACTGTGTGTCCATGTACACCAAGCACGTGCGCTTTACGCTTTTTCTTATTATTAGGCTTAATGATACAATAATTGCCACATTTACTGAGCACCCATTATGGGCCAGGCCCTGCCCTAAGTGCCTAATTAGCTTTAGCTCCTCTAATCCTTACCTCAATTCCACATGGTGTGTATGTGTTATCCCCATTATTCAGATGAGAACATTGAGGCTCAAAGAGGCCAAGTAACTTGACCAAGCACTTGTAAATCATCTCAACTATCCCTTCCAGCTGCCATTTTTTTTTTTTTTCTTTTTTTTTTAAAGATGGGGTTTCACCATAATGGCCAGGCTGGACTTGAACTCCTGACCTCAGGTGATCCACCCACCTCAGCCTCCCAAAGTGCTAGGATTACAGGCGTGAGCCAGTGCGCCCAGCCCCAGCTGCCATTTTTTAAGACTCTAATTTCATACTACCCTAAATCTTGTCTGCTTCCCCATCTTCCTTCTCGCCGTCTCCCCACTGAGCAGTCTGCCAAGATCTGACCGTGATGGCGGCCCTTGGATTGGGCTTCCTCACCTCGTCTTTGCGAAGACACGGCTGGAGCAGCGTGGCCTTCAACCTCTTCATACTGGCCCTTGGTGTGCAGTGGGCAATCCTGCTGGATGGCTTCCTGAGCCAGTTCCCTCCTGGGAAGTTGGTCATCAAACTGTCCAGGTACGGGGTTGGTGGCTGGATCACTTCTGGGTCATAGAGGGAATGGAGCCCGAAAAGACAGGTTACAGAAGATCTGGGATATTCCCCCCACTCTGTCCAGCACCAATGCCATGCAATATTTAGGACATCCTTATGCCAAAACATTATTCGTTGTTTATCTAAAATTCAAATTGAACTGGGCATCCTGCATTTTACTGGACAGCTCTACTCTGTGTGTCACAAGGAGTCCAGGTCTACATTCCTCCCTGCATCCTTTCTTTTCTGTTACTGCCAATTATGACTTTGTAAAGTTACATAATCAATATAAGTTTATGGAAAAAATAATAAAGAAACACATCAGACAAAGAGAAATTGATATGCCACACATAGAGAGACAGTCTCTTGAAAAGAAAGGACTCGAGACTCCATGTTTGGGTCCCCTTCCACTAACAGTCCCTTCGTGGAAGCTGTTTTTCTCTCTCCTGGATTTCCCCTCTGGAGTCCCCTTCCACACTCTCTCATGGAAGCCTGTCTTCTCTTCCTAAACTCCATCTCTCTCTACTCCCTTCCATTCAGTGTGGAAGCTGCTTTCCCTTCCTGGATTCCATTTTTCTGGCTTCTCTCACGCAGTGTGAGACTTAGCTCTTTCTTTCTCTCTCCTTTTCCTGTTTCTTTCTCTCTTTAAATAAATCACTTTCTACAAACAAAAACAGAAAAGAAAAGAAAGGACTCTCAGTCCTCTAATGCTGCTAGACAAGAAATAGCCATGTCTTTACTTTCATTAAATTACCTGTGCTTCGTTTAGATGCATTATGTGAAATGCTAAGAACCATCAAAACTAATTTATGGTGCTAGAAGTCAGAATAGTGGTTACCTGCAGGAGGTGGATATTGATTAGGAAATTTATTTATTTATTTTTTTAGAGACAGGCTCGTGCTCTGTTGCCCAGTCTGGAGAGCAGTGGTGCAATCATAGCTCACTGCAGCCTCTGCCTCCTGGGCTCAAATGATCCTCCCACCTCAGGCTCCCGAGTTATAGTTTTTTACAGGTGCCCACCACCACGCCCAACTAATTATTGTATTTTTAGGAGAGACAAGGTTTAACCATGTTGGTCAGGTTGGTCTTGAACTCCTGACCTCAGGTGACCTAGCTGCCTAGGCCTCCCAAAGTCCTGGGATTATAGGTGTGAGCCACTGCGCCCGACCTAAAGCAGTTTTTGAGATAGTGTCTCACTCTGTTGCCCAGGCCAGAGTGAAGTGGCACAATCACGGCTCACTCAGCCTCAACCTCACTGGGTTTAGGTGATCCTCCTGCCAGCTTCCCAAGTAGTTGGGACTATGGGTGCACACCACCATGCCTAGCTAATGTTTCTATTTTCTGCAGAGACAGGGTCTCACTGTGTTGCTCAGGCTGGTCTCAAACTGGCCCTTGAATGAAATACCGCCCTTACACACATGCTCCTGAACTAAGCCTTTGTCAATGAAATGAACACCCGCTTTAAAGGCATATTCTGTCCAGGCATGACGGAACATTGAGTAACCCCTTATTCTAAATTCCTGGCCCCTGTGAGACTCCTTCCCCGTGCCCTTTGCCCTTTTCTGACCTTCCCCTAAAGTCCTTGAGGCTTAAGCAGACATAGTCTGCAGCAAACACTGGGGAAGCTGAATTCAGATTTCAGAGCACACAGGCTTTGGATCCAGGCCAGCTGGGTTTGAACCTCACGCTTGTGATCAGCTGGCTTGACTGTTTCCAAAAAGTCCATTTTAATTGTATACGTGACTTTCTGTAAAATGGTGATACTGAATGGTAACCTAGCACCATTTTACAGAGGGTCGCTCAGAGGATTAAATTTGTTTTTTTAATTTTTATTTTTTGAGATGGAGTCTCACTCTGTCGCCCAGGCTGGAGTGCAGTGGCACAATCTCAGCTTACTGTAATCTTTGCCTCCCCGGTTCAAGTGAGTCTCGTGCCTCAACCTCAAGAGTGGCTGGGATTACAAGCATGTGCCACCCCAGCTGGGTAATTTTTGTATTTTTAGTAGAGACAGGGTCTCACCCTGTTGGCCAGGCCTGTCTTGAAACCCTGGCCTCAGGTGATCTGCCTGCCTTAGCCTCCCAAAGTGCTGGGAGTACAGGCATGAGCCACTGCGCCTGGACTTATAGGGTTAAAATTTAAAAGAGGTGATGCTGTTACAAGCCTGTTTTACAAAATGCTCTTATAATAAACCATTATCACCACTGTTGCTGTGGCTGTAGCATCACTGTCAACTCCCAGAGGGAGGAGGGAGTCTCAGAGCAAGGTGCTCAGGGGAAACTGGATGTCCATGGATTGTCCAGCTCAGTACCACTTCCTCCAGGAAGTCCTCCCTGATGAATCCAGTCAGCATCACCCTCTACTTCTAGTGAACCCCACTAGACTTTTGATATCATATTCTTAGTTGATAGGCTCATGGTGTCGCCTGTCTGGATCATAAGTACCTTTTTTTTTTTTTTGTCTTTTGTCCTAAGTACCTTGAAGACAAAAATCATTTTCTCCTCCTGAGCATGCTCATTGGTTGAGGGAAGGAAGGAATTGTAATAGTGTTGATAAGGGTAGCTTCTTTTCAGGAGTTGGTTCTTTGTGCCAGTCTTGGTGCTGGACACACTGATAGGAAGAATACTCCTTCGAACCTCCAGGCCACCAACATGGAATACATTTGATCATCATTCTTAATTTGCAGAAGGAGAAACAGGCTCAGTAAGATGAAATAGCTGCTCCAGTGGCAAGGCAGGGACTGGAAGCCAGGCTTGTCCTACTTCCAAATCCGGTTTCTTTCCACTGCCGTGGAGAGGGAGAGAAAGGACAGTGGCCCCGATGAAGATGGGGTGACTGGATGCGGGCAGGCCTGCAGTGGAAGAGTGCCCTCTGTTGAGCATCTGAGTGATGACAGCCGAAAAGAAGACTGGGCAGAATCGCAGTTATCAGATCCCCAGAAGGGGCCCTGAGGAACAGTCACCCTGATCATCCTCAGTTGGATGAGTGTGTGTAGATCAATGCCTCATAGGTGAAGGAGTTGAGTTACAGAGTGGTTAAGTCGTCTGCCAGACCACCGGACTCGGGGTGCAGAGGTCACCTTGATGGGGGAGGAGATGGTCACTCCAGTCTGCAGCATCAGCGTCCAGGTGGGTAGAAGTCTTGTCTTCTACTCCCACAGAAAGTAGGTGCCCAATAGTGTTTGTTGAATGAATGAATGAATGAGTGAGTGAGAATGAATGAATGAATAAAGGAGAGGCATCCTTCCTTCTCAGTCATCCTGGCTCTCCCTCTTTCCCCCAGTATTCGGCTGGCCACCATGAGTGCTATGTCAGTGCTGATCTCAGCGGGTGCTGTCCTGGGGAAGGTCAACTTGGTGCAGTTGGTGGTGATGGTGCTGGTGGAGCTGACAGCCTTTGTCACCATGAGGATGGTCAGCAGAAATGTCTTCAGTGTGAGTCACGGTGCTGGGAGGAGGAACCGGGGAGAAGAGGGGCTAAAAGCCCATTTGGTGGGGTTTCCAGGGTTTTAAAAAAGAAGACTTGTAATCTTAGCTACTTGGGAGGCTGAAGTGGGAGGATCTACTTGAGGCCAGGAGTTTGAGACCAGCCTGGGCATCATAACAAGACCTTCATCTCTGAAAAAGATTTGTTTTCTAATTATCCAGGCGTGGTGGCACACACCTGTAGAGCCAGCTACTCAGTAGGCTGAGGTGTCAGTTGGAAGTACTGCTTGAGCCCAGGAGTTGGAGACCAACCTGGGCAATATAACAAGACCTCATCTCTAAATAAATAGGCAGATAGATAGATAGATGCCTAAATGGAGTTACAAAAGTATGTCTATGCAAATGTTTAAACACAACAAACCAGTGCCTTTAACTACTACAGTATAATCCTGTAGGATTGTACCATTCACGATATAACTATGGTTATATAAAAAGAATTAATTTTCAGAGCCTCATCAGCAGTGGTTCCAGCAAGTTTGTACGGCCAGCAGTGTCTTCTTTCAAACAGTCAGTGTGTGTCGGTAACTGCACATGTAATCTCATGGGGAGAGACTATCAGAAGTCTAAGTCTGAAGGCAGCTGCGAAGGTGGCCAAATTGCTCTCCCAGCTCCTCTGCTGTAACCCTGCCCCTGAGTGATGACATAGCCAACTTTCCCATCTCACGGTGAAAAGGCTGATGCCTGGAGTGGGGAAGGGACTGCCCAAGATTACGTAGCAAGATAGTGGCAGAACCCAAGCGAGAACGCAGAGTTCAAGTCTGGCTGAGAAGAAAGAGCGCTGGACTTGTAGTCAAAGGCTGGGGTTTGCATCTCAGCTCTGCCATAAATCCCTGTGTGACTACGGGCAATTTAACCTTTAGAGCTCCAGTTTCTTCATCTGTAGGCTACAGTACTACCACATAGGGTTTGAGGGAGTAATTGAATTAATCACATACGATGATGCGTGTTTACAAAAAAAAGGCATGAAGCCCATTTACTGCGACTCAGTGTCCCATAGGACTTTAGATTTTACTCTGAGAAATACAGGGAGCACTAGGGAGTGTTTGGCAGGGGAGAGCTATGATCTGACTTATGTTTTGAGATAATCACTCTGGCTTCTGGGTTCGGAAAAGACTGAAGGGGCAAGGGAGGAAGCAGGTGGAGACCAGAGCAGCAGCTATTGCCATAATCCAGATTCAGACTAGGACAGGAGCTGTGAGAGTGGTGGGAAGTGGTTGGATCCTGACTGTATTTTAATAGCAGAATTGACAAGATTTGCTCATGGACTGCACATGGGGTGGGAAAGGGTGAGATGACTTCAAGATTCTCATCTGGCACAACTGAGCGGCTGTTGGAGCCATTTACTGAGATGGGGAACATTGGAGTGGGATAGACCTGGGAGGGAAAACCCAGAGTTCAGTGTCAAATGTGGTAGTGTTAGGGTTAAGGTGGGGGGCTAGAGATATGTATGAAACATCCCAGTGGAGACACTGAATGGAAATGTACAAGTCTTGAAATTTGGGAGTTGCTAGAATACAGATGATATTTAAAGCCATGAGACCCAAGGAGATTGCTCAGGAGTGAGGATAAAGAGAGATGTGAAGAAGTCTGAGGACTGAATCCTAGAACACCCCGCATTTTAGAGGGGGGACATGTAGAAGAGCCAGCAAAGGAGACAGAACTGTGCTTGGAGAGGCAGGAGGAAGCCCAGGAGAGGGCGAGGTCCTGGAAGGCAAGGAAAGAGAGGGCCTGAGGTAGGTTGAAGTCTGCTGAAAGGTCAAGTAGGATGGGAGCTGAGAAGTGGCCATTGGCTTTGGCAAGGAGACCTTGACATGCATGGTTTTAGAGGAGGATGAAGGCAAAAGCCTGGCTTGACTGGTTCAAGAGCAAGAGATGAGAAAGTGGAGACAGCGTCCAGGAGCAGCCCTGCCAAGGACTTTGCTATAAAGGGGACCAGAAATGGAGAAGCAGCAGGGCAGAATCTCAAGGGAGAGTTTGTTTGTTTACTTCAGGTGGGTGATATTTATATGCCAGTAAGAATAATCAGGTAGAGAGGGGGAAAATCTGATGATACAGAAGAGACATGAATTGCAAGAGTCAAGCCTTTGAGTTGGAAAGCGGGAGTGGGATTTTGAGCACTGATGGCTTTAGGCTGATGCAGGGACAGTTCATCTTAACAAGAGAAACGGCAGGGACTGTGGATAGGCCAGCAGATTGGGTACCTAGGTACCCATAGGGTACCATAGGTTCAGTCTCCTGCAGGAGGAAATCCCTTACTAACTAGTTGTATTTTCTCAGAGAAACAAGAGGCACCGTCATCAGCTTCATGTGAGGGTGGAAAGGGGAGATGGGGCTTGCGGAGAGACAAGGTGTGGATCTGTGGGAGTGGAAGAGCGAGAGGACCGGGGGGGTGCAGTGGGACTGCAGGCTGACACCAGGGCTCCTAGGACTTGTAGTCGGTGGAAAGTGCATCAGTGACCAGGGCTGTGTGCTGATGCTCCAGGCAGGTGTGGAAGAAGCAGAGTTGAACATGCCCAGCCTGGGGTACTGCCCACAGTGAGCCTAAAGCCCAAGGGAGACCAGAGATGGGGCTATTTGCAAAGGAGGAAGTATAATGGTGGCCCACTATTAATAAAACTGAACTGGTTAAGAAAGGAGTGAGAGTGACATTGGGGAGCCCAGCCAGGCAGCCTGGGTACAAATCTCAGCTCAACCCACACTAGCTGAGTCCATTTGGGTCCCTTAGCTGAACTCTCTGTGCCTCAGTTTTCCTATCTGTAGAATGGGGATAAGAATAATGCTACTCCCTAGGACCGTTGAGAGAATTGAGCAAGTGATTGTATCTAAGGCACTTAAGAACGGTGCCTAGCATGGGGTAAATGTCATGGCAGTGCTGTTATTTTCTTTCTTTTTTTTTTTTTTT